CACACACCACACACACACATCACACACACACACACACACACACACACACACACACTAAAACACACACACACTGTCGAGTTACTAACTTCACTACGCATGGATCTTAATCACCTGTATAATTATGAAGTGAAACGCACGGCTCTCCCGAGCTATCATGCGTAGATGCAGGTATTGTACGTAGATACATCTACCGTGTGTAGATACAGCGGGCGTAGAAAAATTTTGTCGCAGGAAAATTGGAAATGGGAAAACCGGTCATACGTAAAATTGGTCACAAATTGTAAATATCTGTTTACTGCGGCAGAGAGTAAGGATGAGGGAGTAGGGAAAGGGAAGCAGAGGAAGTGCAGCACGAAGGAAGGATGAGAGGGAGAGGAGCATGTGTTAAATTAAGGTGGAAGAGATCAAGTGAAAGGGATAGAGAAAGGAAGCAGGAACGAGAGAAGGGGGAAGGTGAGTGGGCGTCGGCGGCAAGAGGTAGATGAAGAAGGAAAGAAAGCGGTGGTGAAGACATCAGGTGGGGGAAGAGGGGAGAACTTGTAATTATGCATTTTAGAATCTTACCTAAGTACGATTCTAATGCCAGTTGTTAAATTAGCGATCAGGTCTTGCATCCACGCACCTTAGTCGTCGTCTAAATGAACTCATTTGGTTTAGTGGCAGCAGCCACTAGCAGCTTTCTACGATGATGGCGTGTCGCACGGAATATCCTTGGTTGATGTCATGGGAACGCAGATTTTTTGCATCCACCCACTCTTATTGTCAGCACTCTTATTGTCAGCACGCTTATTGTCATTGTCTTACCTAGTGGGTAGAAAATATTGCAGAAAAATCGGTCCTTTTGTCCTTTATAACGTAAGGAATTACCAAAATCCGAAATCGGCTTGATCCTCCACACAAAGGAAAATTGTATCCTCTTTTACCGCCATATTCCTGCCCACCCCTCCTTCCTTACCGTCACACTCCTCCTAAAGTTTCTTCATTCACGTATTTCCTTTCTTCTTCTCTCTCTCCTGTCTTCTTCTCTATACCTTTTCCTCTTCCTTCTCCTCCTTCTTCGCCTCCTCCTCTTCCTCCACCTCGCTCTGTTTCCTCCCGTAAGCGTCCATGTAGAGGCAGCTAGATAAGTACAGTTACTTATATGTAGATAAGGCTAGATATGGCTATACTCTATGTACATGTACTGTAAGTAGATGCAGCCACACACAATTACTGCATGTATCGCCCTACGAGTCGCTCCCGTCGCTGGCCACAAATTTTTCGTACGAACGCAGTCGGCCTAACGTCCGCCATGATTATTGCTGCGTCGTTCTTCATAGAAATATTTTTATTGAATTCTTTCTCACGTAGTGAATTATCAATTATGATGCCTTGTACCAACATGCCTGCAGCACGTGTACACGCGGTTAAACTCATTTAAAATCATTTCTTCTTTATTAGATTAAACAACGCGCTTCATCCAGACAAAATGTGTGAAATAAACTTCGAAGCTGTATATGGCATCTATCTATTTATCTATCTATCTATCTATCTATCTATCTATCTATCTATCTATCTATCTATCTATCTATCTATCTATCTATCTATCTATCTATCTATCTATCTATCTATCTGATCTTCATCTATCTATTATCTTCTATCTAATCTATCTATCTATCATCTATCTATCTATCTATCTATCTATCTATCTATATCTATCTATTCTATCTATCTATCTATCTATCTATCATCTATCTATCATATCTATCTATCTATCTATCTATCTACTTATCTCTCTATCTATCTATCTATCTACCATCTATCTATCTATCTTCTATCTATCTACTCTATATCTACTATTATCTATCTATCTATTCATCTATCTAGTCTTTATCATTATCTATTCTATCTACTATCTATCTATCTACTCTTCTATATCTCTTGCCCACATAAAGGAACAGTGGCGGCCTTGAAGAAGTTCTAATAGCATCTGGTTATAAGGGTTTAGCGTGGCAATCTGGTTGGAAAAGGGAGTTATAGAGAACTTGTTCGTTCGCAGCGCAAGCAGAATATTTTTACTCATTTTTCCGGATGGATTTCGCATAGAGATTACGGGGAAGGTTGCAGACCCATAACACCCAGCATGCAAGTGCAGTGCTTGCGACAGGCGCTTGCTTACAACTGCTTAAAAAACGTGGTGCGAAGGCAGCAGCTAACGGGCGAAGCAGTAGGCAAACGAGGCAACGCGTGTCGAGCTCAGGTATGATGCGGGATTTGATGGAACGTATCAGCGCGTATTGGAGATATCGTATCGCTAATCGCTACTATCGGACATTACCTCATAGAGTCTGCTGATGCGATAAGTAAGCGAATGCTGCTTATGATTTTGAAGTGAATACGTTAATTAAACGACGTAGTATTACGATGTATGGAGGGACTTTCGCGCGTTGATGTCCGGTAATTCCGATTAGTGAAAGCGATGATCGCAGCACATAGTATTGATTACCAGTGATGAACAGCGCGAGCCCGGATGACGGGCCGTGGTGTGACGCCCTTTTTTTTCATTAATTAGCGGATCGTCGGGGATTCTTAACGAGGGCACTGAAATGACATATCGACGATGTTATTTATTCGCCGGGATATATACAATTTGATAGACAAATGATTATTGCCAAACAAATACCGATACGATGATACGATATAAACTAAAAAAACTAACTAACTAAAGGTAAGACAA